TTGGGGTTTAATGGGAAATGAGACACATTTGTAATACCTTAACCAATAAAGAAATTAAAAAAAAGAAATGTTAATAGATATTGCACAAATAAAAGGTTCAATGGTCAAATAACTTTTGGGAAAAATATGTGCAATATCCCTTGCTTGGAGATTTATTATTTTTTTAGCATATTGAAAGCTCTTAACATATTATTTTTTAAAAATATTAATTTTGTAAATCTAGCCATTTAATGAATCTCCTTTTTTTCTGGAGACAATTTTAGAGCAGAACCTCTCTTAACATCTGATGGAACCTTGGTGGAGAAACCTTAGAATAGAAAGATTTTTTTGTTAATCCCCACCCAAGGATATTTCTCCATTGATTTTTAGAGAGTGGAAGGAAGGGAGAGAGACACAGAGAGAGAAACATCGATGTGAGAGAGACACATAGCTTGGGTGCCTCCTGCCCATGTCCTAATCAGGGCCAGGGATCGATCCTGCCACCCAAGTACATGCCCTTGACTGGAATTGAACCCAGGACCCTTCAGTCTGAGGGCTGATACTCTATCCACTGAGTCAAACTGGCTAGGCCTAGAACAGAAAGATTTTGCCAGATGTTCTTAAGGATGAGGTGGCATATCAGGATAAAAAAAAAATAAGCATGTTGGTACCATCCCAGTCATAACATAAGTGATCCTAAATGTATTTGGATATGCTACTTTTATGATTTTTTTTTGTAATTAACAACTACAAGTTGATTTCATGATTATCTAATGACTGGAACTAAAGGCAATGTTAGCAGTGATGTGGAATAAATTGGCCATGACAGTGTAATCAATACTAAGAAAATGTAATAAGCTGATCAGTGAGAAGACAAAATTTGATTACAAAACTTGATTAATCAGATTCAGGGAATTCACTGACTGCTTCTGATTTTGGCAAAGGTACCATTGCTCTTTCAAACACTCAAGAATAGATTTACTTCAAAGAGGGGCAAATATATAGTGATGGAAGACGATTTGACTGTGGATGGTGGCCACACAATGCAATATTCAGATCATGTATCAGAAATGTACACTAGAAACCTGTATGGCACCCCAACAAATTTAATTTAAAATTTTTTCAGCCCAAATAAAAGATGGTCTAATTGTGTCAGGAAAAGAACAAGCAAGCATAAAATGATAATTCAAAGGAAAGATGAAAGCACTAATACTGGTATCTGAGAAATTACATAGCAGAACTGGCAAGTCATCCAGGAAACATTATTACCTAAATGTAACTCTCTGGCATAGTTCACATTCTAGAAAAAGTCTCATTGCTGTTTCCTTTATCACTGATGGCTACAAGAGACTGTTCCAGGTCACTGATGAGAACCACATGTCTTCTCATAATAAAAAATGGGCCAGAAATAGGAAATAACGTTTGAAGAGAAAAAGGAAAGAGAAGACTATGAGTCCTCAATTATATCTTCCTCGGTTCATACTTATCCTTTTCTCTGCCCCTGATTACCTTCAAAATCATTTCCATTCTCAACATTCTTAGACCCCCGAAATATCCAACCTAAATATTCCACTCACATTCCCTCTTCTCCTCTACTCTAGGCTTCATATTTCTACCTACACTTCAGAATTTTCACTTTCATGAGCCACATCATGAGGAAGGAGACAAGTAAAAAAAGTGGAAGTTTCATAAGTAATTCAGTATAAATTGTAAATTGTGTCGTTTGGAACAACTTTGCTTTCCTTCTAGAACAAATCTAACCAATGATCTAAGAAAAAAAAAATATATATTTTTTTCACTAAGACAAAATAAGAACTGCTAAATCTTACCTGATGTTTCATGTAATGATTCATGTAGGGGGTTGCCATTCTACTAACTTTGAGGCAAAATGGACACAGCAAGTTCTTTGTGTTTTCATGGGATGTTCTAAAATGAGTTTCTACATCAGAAAATGTTGATGATCTAAACTGGCAAACCTAGAAATATAAAGAAGGTTTAGTTTAACTTGAATGTATAACTGATATGCAATTACATTAAAGTAGCAATGATAAATCATTTGTTCAGAGGAACATTACGTTCTAATTCATCTTTGCTGCCTATACAATCAAGAATCCTATTACTTCAAATAATAATGATGATCTTTGAAACAGAAAAGTATCATTCAAACTCTGACACCTCTTGTCCTATAAAGCTTATCCTGCTATATAAAATGAGAGTATTCTCTTCTTTGGATTTTAAATAACATCCAGAATATGATAGAGGCAATTTATCTTTATCTTGCTATCTTATTGGGAACCACTTCAAATTCTAGAAAAATAGCAGCCACAAAGTATTTAGTTGAGTTTCCCATAACTAACAGCATTTACTATTTCTCTCGCATGTCTTTATTTTCCCTACTTAGTAAAAAAGTCATTATGTTTGTCTTTTTCTAGCAGGGTATTTTGTTTTTCTAGTATAGGGGTCAATAAATTATGACCCACAGGCCAAATCCAACCCACCACCCACACATACATGAGTTAAACCAAGGGAGTTTTTATGATTGAAGAGGGTCTTCAATTTAGTAACTTGTGTTATTTAAATGGTTAAAAAATAATAAAATACTATTTCATGGCACATGATAATTAAACTAACAGCTAAGTAGACAATAAAATGTGTATGTACCTGGCAAATATATGGCATTTCACCAGGTTTATGAGTGTCCTTCATATGTTGTAAAAGAGTATGTTCTGTTTCAAATGATAATTCACAGATTTTACAAATCGCTGAAATTAGAAAAACACATGTTACATCATTTTAAGGATGTATATAAATAAAAGGTTTATTTTGTACATCTATAACAATAGCAACAAGCAATAATAGTAACAGTGATGGTGGTTCCAATAATTCTATAGTTAACTCTGTTAATGCTGTAGTAAGGACTTTACTTATATTAGCTTACTTAATAATTCCCATTCCATAGTTGAGAGAGGTACTGCTATTTTTATTCCCATTTTTCAGATGAGGAACCTGAAGTACAAAAAGTTTAGGTAACTTGCTTGAGATCTCGCAGTTGTATTAAAAGGCAGAACTGGAATTTGAGTCCAAGCTATCTAACTCCACACTGTGATTTCAACTTTCATTGCAGTTATCTTTCTTATTAGAGTATAAATCAAGATCATTGATTTCATATTTTCAAACCAGGGACTGGTTTTTAGCTTACCCCTTACACATAATACAGGAGATATGCCCTATTTATAAGAGGGATCTCAACTTAAGTAATCTTATTGAAAAGTTTCTGCAAGTTAAAATTTGCTTTTCAACTTTGCCCTCAAACTACAAAGTCTATTTCTTATTTTTCTATCAGAGTTCTTAAGGATCCCTCATAGTTTATATGATCAAAATAATTGATGCTTAGCACTTCAGTAAAACTGTGACTTACTAGAAAACTCATGAGGTGTGTGTGTACTCTCAATGTGACACTGCAGCTGGAATGGTGTAGGATACTGACGGTAACAGTGCTGGCAGGTGGTGTGGCTTTCCCAGCTCTCACTGTTCTGCTTCTCAAGTTCCAAATGGTGTTTCATGTGATTCATAAACCTATAAATAATTGTCAACAGGTGCAAATATTCAGATTTATAACAAAAAACCCTCACAAGTAAGTATCTGAACCTAAATGTTAGAAAGGCAGTTATATTATTCAGAATAATATCTCTAAGCCTTAAAATCCTCTAGAAAAGTGTGCACTTCAAATAATCACTTTCATTAAATGGCTCAGTAAATCTATTTGTAAAATACAGTGGAGCCCTAACCGGTTTGGCTCAGTGGATAGAGCATCGGCCTGCGGACTCAAAGGTCCTAGGTTCGATTCCGGTCAAGGGCATATACCTTGGTTGCGGGCACATCCCCAGTAGGAGGTGTGCAGGAGGCAGCTGATCGATGTTTCTCTCTCATCGATGTTTCTGGCTCTCTATCCCTCTTTCTCGAACTAATTTGTTCCAGAAGGCTGTTCAAGAAGTGGTTTGAAAACTGAATAATTTTTCCCATTAAAAATAATATAAATTTAATTAATCCATTCCAGACCGCCAAATGATTCCCCTTTTCAAACCTTTCTTATATACAGTACATGTCTAATATACTGTTTAATCCTATATGATAAAAGGCTAATAAGAAAATCAATCAAACAGCGGAATGACAGGTCTCTATGACACACACTGACTACAAAGGGGCATATGTTCAACACAGTAGCTGCCCCCTGGTGGTAAGTGCACTCCCACAGGGGGAGCACTGCTCAGCCAGAAGCTGGGCTCACGGCTGGCAAATGCAGTGGCAGTGGTGGGAGCCTCTTCCACCTCTGTGACAGTGCTAAGGATGTCTGACTGC